CCCCCTGGGCTGCCCCTTTTCCCCCTTGCAGCCACTCACACCCGTGCAGTGCAGCCCCTAGGCTGAGGAGCAACCTCCGCACTGGGGTGAAACTGCTCCTTTTCATTGCCACGGGTGTGCAGGGGTCTACCCCTTCCCAAACCAAGCTCCCCTCCCCTGCTTGCCCCCATCTCTGCTTGCCCAGCACCCGCAGGCTCCTCTCAGGGTGCTGTGGGTCACCCTCCCACTTCCCCGCTCGCAATTCCAGTCAGGGATCACCAGTGGTTTGCTCAGGAAAGAGCTGCTGTTCCAGCTAGGGGGGGAATTGCTCCTGGGGCTCCCCCAGCTGCCAGCAGCCACGCTCCGGGCGCTCCATCCGTGTTTAAACCACACGCATTTTAAACCTCGACGTTTAAACCTTGGCAGGTCAGGGGGCAGAGGCTGAAGGAGGAGTTTTGCTGTCCCCTGGCTGGAGTAAGGAACCTGCCTGCCACGAATCGTTTAGCCATCAACTATTGGCATGGATGTGACATGAAGAACTTTTTTAAACTTACTCCGTTTCTTGACAACAACGCAAATACATTTGTGTGATTTTTCACTTAAGTGGATGTAGGAAGTAAAAGTTTTTTAAAAAAAAACCAGATGAACTTTTCCAGACAGAAGCCATGTTTGATGGGAGCAAAGCAGTAAGACCTTCAAAGCGAACTCGACGATAGGGGAAACATTTCACAGGAGACCGAGCGCTTCCCGGAGCATTCCCAGAAGACCCAGCGACTCGAGCCTGGCTTCCAGGCAGCAGCCATGAAGACCCCCCCCTCTTTGCGCGGGCGCTAATGGCAGTGCCAGTCCCAGCCTCAGCGGGAACTGAAGGCACAGTCCTAACACCCGGCCTCCCCAAGGGCATTCCCTCGAGTGCAGATGCAAAGATTCATGGCTGAACACTGTAATTTTATCGGACATCTCTCCTCTCTGCCTGGTCAGGAGTGGATTAAAAAAACCCCCACGTGAGACCTCGGGCGAGATCGCAGTTCCATCCAACCCCCTTGCAAACAGTGCACAACCATGTGAATACTTTCCAATTCAAAACATTTTGTGTACAAGCTGAACTTAAAACAGACACTGAAATAGCTTAGGCCACACCCAAGTTGTTTGTAAAATCCTTTTTAATCTAATAGAAATGTTTTCATGAATTTTTAAAAAAGATTTCAATGAAAACAGCTTTGGATTCAGACATTCCCTTGCCACGTTGTGAACATAAACAGCAGCATTGCACTAGGAACAAGTGACACCGACCAGTCGAGCTTCACGATTTTGTATGAAGCGGAAAAAAAAGCAAACTGCTTTAGTGGAAGATAATTTGAATTACTTTTGGAAAAAAAAAACCACCAAAAAACCCCAACAAAACCCCAAAACCAAAAAAGCAAACGTGGGCTATCATCTCACCACTGTGCTCCCTCTCCCTTCTTAAAGGCAGAGTTTAGCTCCTGCAGTCTGAGCACTAACAGCAATGTTTGCCAAGTGGAAAAATCCAGCGAGAGAAGAAACTCTTTATCCCCAGTGCTATTAAACCCCCAAGGTTGCAGGTCCCCTTAGAGGAAAGCTTCTCTTACATAAGAAAGACAATTAGAATTGGCAAACTGATGCAAAATATTTATTCCAAGTTAGTTATTTTTGATGCAGTAGTTTTTCCCCCTCATACAGACTCAATGTGATAGTCACTTTTTTAAATCTGTAAATAATGTTATCAAAATAATCTTAATCTTTGAAATCTCACAAAAAATTTATATTTTACAATCCACCCTGAATATCAAGGCTGCAAGAAGAAGAACACAAACAATTCCTATATCCAAATATTTTACAGCTGTACCCAAAAAAAGAAAACCACAAACGCCTGGTTAAGTGATGAAGCTCCCCGAGCCGCCAAAAAAAAAAATAAAATAAAATAAAAAATTCATGTTATTAGCATTAATTTAACATAATTAGAACTTCAATAGCCATTTTGTCATTGACAATGATTGTTTTAGCACACTGTTACCGCACGACATCGTGTAATGCAGGCGGCACGGTTAGAAGCTTGTTGTTGCAAAGATCAGTCAGCCACTTGTATCCTCTGCTTACAAGACTGAACTGGTGCACTGCCCCACAAGGGATTTCTGTCAGAACTTGCTAGCTGCACAAACTTCTATTAAGCATTAGGGCAAAACCAAAAGAAAAAGCTAAAGAAGCCAATTTCTCTCTTCTTTGGGATACAATTATTTCCCTTGTGCATGAAGTATCAACAACAAAAGAAAAAACTGAACAGACTGGAGACAGAATAAACTCTGTTTAGTTTATACAACCCCAAACACGTGTTGAACTATGAACTGAGTTTATTGGGTTGGTTTTATTTATTTTTAATTTTCTTGTGCCTACTTTCAGGCATCGTCATCTGACGTTTCGCTGCTACTAGTTTCTGTGTCTGAGTCCTCAATCTTTGTCTTAAAAGTGCTTCTCCAGTGGAACAACAGGCTGGAGCCGCGGCCCTGAAGAAATCCGTTCTTCCCAAATCCGTTTCTTCTTCGCTGTAGGAATGAAAGCAAGTTTTAAAACAACCAAAAGTGCGGAGGGTCTAACTGTCGCTAACCATCCGTGGACACAAATTACAATACGTAACTGCATACGCACGCTCTGCACGGGTCACGCAGAATCACCAACTACACTACAACCTCACTTCAATTCTTTGTCTTCTCAAACATCCGTAATTACGCCGCAAGAGACTTGTGCATGAGAAGGGAGAGGGAGAAGAAGCAATCACAAGTGGCAAGAGCTGTAAACGTACCTGCTCTGATTTAATTTGGAACTCTTTGAGCTCATCCTCCGTGAGGGGAAGGTAGTTCTCATCATTTTCAGGATATTCCTGCCATCCCATTTCTTTCAATAACCTGATTTGTGGAGAAAATAAAAGGGGCATGGGAATTAAAGCAACGGAACAACGGCAAAGGAGAGAACATTTTGTCCACGAAGCACAAGGGTTTGTATTAATTCACTCCCAACTGACCAGGGAATCTTCTGTATTAGAGACCACTTCAACAATGTTTTGTGTTTACCCAACATTTTTCAATGTCATTTACAAATATTTAATCACCAGCAGTCCTGTACAACAGGTAAATAAGTAGTCTGGCAGAAGGAAAGCAAGGCAGAGATTTGAAATTCTTCCCAAGCATGCTGAAGGAGGACATGAGGCAATCAAACCAGTATGGCAGCTCAGAATCTCCTAAAGCTTACTATCCACTTACACCAGATGCTCACACACCGCTTACTCACTGGAGCAAGACACAAGCTGAGGTACTAGGTAAATATTTTCTTAACTCTCCTACACTTTTGCAACATTTAAAGCAGCACTGGAGTATTCTAAGTGCAGACAGAAAGAAAGTGGTGTGTGTGAGGGTGTATCTTCAGTCTTCAGACCATTCCATTTAGGACACCTGCTTGTAGATTAACCAGAATCACACTAGGTTTGTGCTCACTCCCCGTGTGGGCAGGTAAATATCCGGGCAGCATTAACACACAGGGATGTGGCACTAGAGAAGCACTGGAATTTAATTACAGACCTTGGTAAAGTCTCAACTCATCTGTCATCAGTGTCTTGGTTTACTTTCAGTAAGACTCCACCCAGTCCAGCGCGAGTCATTAAGCCCACACACCTCTAGCTCAGTACACACAAAGCTGCTGCTGCTGCTTCCCCAAGAGAGTTGTCTGAAATAGCTTCCTTCTCCTCACACAGTCCGAGGACTCACCCTCCTTTACTCCAGACAATTTATTTTACTCACCTGTGTTCTGCTTCCAATGAATGAGAGAGGTTTTCCCCCTCCTCCGGCAGAGGGAGAGAAAGGCCATTCTGATGGCAGTTCTCTTCCCAGTTTTCCTTTGGTTCTGGTGTGCTGTTGCTCTCCATCTAAAGAAAAACAAAAGCATCAAAGCGTGCTTGCGCAGACCACACCAACAGCACAGTTCCAAGTTCAAGCTTCTGCTTTTGGAAGCAAAGCCTTTCACCTCGAGTCAGTGTTTTTACAGAGCCTGGACAGATAATGGTTGAAAGCAACTTCTACCCGGCTGTGACAAGACAACACAATGTGAGCGACATTTGGTGAACTGCACTTTTGTGTCAAGGGAGTAAGCGCTGGCATTACAAAGCCATCATCAGTGGCTTCAGAGTGAGAGTAAGAAAACTATGATAATTAAATACGCCTATGGACACCCTTTACACACACATTAAGCCACAGAATTATGCATTTAGGGGTCCGGTCCACACCTCTGAGGCTTGAGGCACTATCCTGCACCTTTCACAAGCACAGAGTTCTACTTCCCCAGGGACGTAGTTTGACAAGGAAGTCTGAAAGCAAATTAAGACATTAAGATATGGTATGGTTCCACTCCTTAAGAGAGCCTTTGCAAAAATCTAGATTACTACTCTCACCATCTGTGACCTTCTCTTCTACCTCATTTATTACTTATCCATTTGCATTTCATCATGTTACCGATCTCCCTTCACCAGAGTGCTGTGTGCTACTTCTGCTGGCGTGCAGGCCAAACCAATGGAAGTCATTCCTTTCCTCCTCCGGAGCCTGAATTACATATGCTGCTCTGGTTTGTTTTTTCCAGTACCCAACTCCTTAAATACATAATGGTCATATATACAGTAAGGACAGCGATCTTACATCATCCAGCTTGTCACATTCTCTGTTCTCTGTTATCTCCCCATTCCTATCATCTTTCAGTGCCTTCAGGAATTCGCTCTTCTTATCAGTGGTACGACGCATCAGCTTTGTCAAGCGTGAAGAGCAGATCTCGATGGGAGGGGTGGTGCTGGAAGGACTCTAAGACAGGGAAAGTAAAATACAGAGACTTTCAAACTGTATTGCTGTGAAGATGTGGCCCTCTTCAGGGTCTGTACTTACACCTTTCGAACACCCATTCTTTGGCTGGCTATTAAACCCTCAAAAAAAAGGTCATGTCAAATTCCCATCAAAATACTGACTGGTGTTGCACATTCTCCTCTTCCCTTACCAGCACAATCATTATTGACTCAATTTTTTTCTTCCCCTAGAAGTCAATTCACATGGTCGTGAATACATTTATTTTGTTCCTTGGCAATGTAACTCTCTCAAGAAATGCTGGAGCCTACAACAGAATATTAAGGCAGAGAACTTCATGCAGCACCCTTATCCTACAAAAATTAAAAAATTAAGGAGATGAGGCTCAGTTCAAATTTGCGTCTTAAGCCATCCTGACAGACTCTACCCTGAAATTAAGCTATGGGGTGGTAATCTCCTTTCAGGGAGTGGTCACATCCTTAGCGAACCACAACTGGATGTGAAATAGGTAGCCACAGCCTTGGCATCCTGCCCTGGAGAGCACACTGCCAGTTCCTTGCTGTGTGCACTCACAGCCCAGGTGGTTCAGTTTGTAGCCAGACACAGACAACCCTGGAGCCTGTGGGAAATCTGCTCAGCTCAATTCATGAACCCAAGGTAACCTCCCATGCTCTTCCACAGCATTTACGCTTTCTTAATCATCTTGAATCAGTGAACCAGACATAAGGCACAACAGTTTTGCACATTAGCAGTGCCCCAGCCATGACACTGCAATAAAAACATTGCTAACCAAGATGAGCTTTCAATTTAATCTGTTCCATAATTTTGACTGGACATGCAAAAGAAATCTCACAACATGTTATGTGAAAGTTCCCAATATCTTAACCTTCTGCTCATATATGGAGTTCGTGTCTGGCTACTCTAAGACAACAAGGAATTCAGTCATTAATAGGGATACCTGACACTGGAATCCTGCACGCAAAACTATTCTTTTCCTTTGCTTACTCGCTTGATTTTTTTTCCTCAATATTAAAACAGAGTAAAATTTCCTAAAGCCTGCAGTGTTTTTCTCCCCCCATACTTTTTTTTTAAACTAGGGTAGGAAGGTTGCAAATTCAGGCTCTTCAAAATGAATCTCCCTAGTAAAGCATTTTTAACTCACAGTGCTCTGAGCAAAGATCAAGGGAACTAAAGTATTTACCAAAACAAAAACAAGGCAGCAACTGCTGCTTATATTTCTGATGCCTGTTGCATATGAAACACTGGTGTGCAATAACAACTTTTGGGGAAGTGCATGCTGAAAGTAATGTCTTACGGTAAACATTTCTCAGATGGCCTTTCAAATTTTGCCTAATTCAACACAGCAAGGAACAAATCAGCGATTGTAACAGACATAACAAGTGACTCTGAATATTAGGATAAAAAGCTACCATAGTACTGAAATTAAAGCTCTCAACATGGTAATTACTTTGACTGCAGTGACAGAAGGTAATGATGAACAAAGGAGACTAAAATTAGATGTCTTCTGGTAATTTGGAATACTCTACTAAAGCACTTGAGCTCTTTGCTAGAAGTAGCTGTTTTAACCGCACTGTATAGAACTGCTGAGGTACTAAAACTTAATGTCTACACATTAGGTGACGACAGTTAAAGCCAAGGTTTAGAAACAACAGAATCTGAAAGGGAATTGAATTTCACCTCAATTCTTATTTTATTCATAACATTCTGTAGAGGGCTTTATAATACTAAAAGAGAACGTTATGTACAGGGGTATTCATTTTCTGACATCTTTTCTAAAGGTAGGTTTAGCCCTTTGACTGAAACATCAAGGCATTTTTTTTAAAATGAGAACACTATACATTATCGCAGATTTGTTCAGATATCAGTCTGTTTAACAGGTGTAGCTACTCTAACAGAAAAGTCATCCTGTATCACTTTAAGAATTCAGACTGCATGTTAATTTGGTTATCTTAGACTGGCTTGTGGGGACCTGGCACCAGTGATAGTTGGCACTCTTCTAGTTTTTAACACACTGTGGTCTCTTACGAGTAAAGGTGCTATTTCCAACACTTCTGCGGGAGGGGCATTATCCCCATTTCAGAAATAAAAAGGCAGAGATTACTTGTAGTAGACCTGTGGTGCTAGGAAGATAGTAGTATTTGCTGGCCATGCTCCTGTGTTTTCATACTGCATCTCCAACAGATTCAAGGAAAAATACATTACAAGTGTTCAATTTTAGTTTGGAGGAATTTTTAAGTCCTTTTTGTTTAGTTGATTGACACTGGTAATACAAGAAGTATTAAAGGAAGCACTGCTTGTTCTGAGGAAAACCCAGCTGCCTGCTCCTGCTGTCAGATTAGCATCTGACACCTTTGCTGACTAAAGTTTCAGGCAAGAGCTTCTTGAGGCGGGGTGTGTGCAATATAATAATGGAGACTACCTGCGTTACTACCATGTCATACGAAGTGAATGCCCTTCTTGTTATCTACCTGGAGGTGAAAGCCTATTTAAGTTTACGTATTTATGCTGCAAAGGTGTCCATCCTGTGCTGTGCATTAACACAAAAAGGAATGAGTCAGTAGCACAAAGGACTCTGAGGACCATCAAAAGCAAGCTAAGGGAAAAGGATGCAGTGTAAGATCTATTTGTCAAAGTGGCAGGCGCATGCTTGTTAGCTACTGCTTTTAATGACTGCTTTTACACTCAGCAGTGGCTAAAGCAGAAAAGTACAGGCTGTTGCAAAGTAAAGCCCGCAAAGCAGAGAATCATAAGGATGACAAAATCTTATTTTAGAAGAGAGATCTGTACAGGAAAAAGACAAATGCACAACCAGAAAAAAAACCACTGTTACACTTGAAACACAAACACACTCATTTCAGATTACATGAATAGGTCACTTATCACCATCTGTTTTATTTTTGCTCTTTTTACATATGATCACAAACCTGTTGAAATTTGATTCCCAGGAGCAGGGGAGAAAAGTTATTCGCTGTCACTTTTGTATTAAGCTTTGTGGAATTGCAAGCTCCAAAACAGCATTTTGTATATAAGCTATAAAGCGATACATAGAAATGTTGGCCAAAATGTGTTTTCTCAAGAGTTACTGCTGAAACGTTAACAGATTTATATGTAAGATTCTCCCCAAACTTCAGACCAAAAGCAGAGGTAAGTCAGTTTCCACCTCACCTCCTTCCAACACCAAAATCAAAAACAGACAGTGTAGCTGAAGACATGTACACACATTAAACCACCTCAACCCTCAGAGCTCATTGCTTGTGCTGTTGCTCTCCTAGAGAAAGGAAATGAAGCAGATCATCCTCCTCCTCCTTCTTGTCCCATATTAAAGAATAGCATGGGAATCAGTTTACCTATCTGTTGTTCACATCAGTTCTTAGTATCTGCGCTCTGATAGCACCAAGTCTATGCATGTCTAGTTATGCAACACTATTAAAAAAATTAATACTTTTTTTTACATTGGAGGGAAATTCTAATACATTTGGGCAAACACCAGTGGCTTTACATCCCGGTAAACCACATTTTTATTTCTTTTAGCATATCAGAGATGTGGCAGAATATGCTAAGAATGTACAAGTCAGTCATTCTTCAAGGGTACAAAGGTAGGTATACCATGTACAGAGAGGATCTCATCACATTTAAGCTACCCACTTACCCACTATAGTAGGTGACAGTGATACAAGTTCCCATCTCATCCCCAAGCCCAACCCCTTACCTCTTTGGGAGAGGTGAGGACTGAGCCACTCGCCAGTACCGCTGGTTTGGTTACAGACACTGGACTGGTAAAGGCAGAGTCACGGCTGGAGGAAAGCGAGCCTGGTTTATGTTCACTTCTGTTGGCTTTCCATGGACTTGGCTATATCGAAGAGAGCACAAAATACTGGACAGTAAAAGGTAAGGCACAAGAAGGGGTTGCTTGCAAGTAGTAAAATAAACAAACAAACATTATGTTGGCTGTTGTACAGATATTCGTCCTCCCTCTCCCAAGAACGGTCTCAAGTTTACCTCAACACCCATTATTTTTCCCTGTTTTCTGTTTTCCCCAAAGCCCACACAGTTCTGCTTCATCGGCACCACCCTCCAGTAAAACACTGTTAGAGCTCAAAGAGAAAATCCCGCGTTGCTCTTCATTAATTGGAATCACCACCAAGTAACGCAATGCATCTTACAGCTACCCACAGATGGGACGTAAAAAAAATCTCAGTTAAATTCACATTTCATATGGGAACACTGTATGCCACAAAGAAAGGGTTTGCATCACTTGACAGGAACTTCCACTGTGCAAGGAAGAAGTACGTCAAGGAATATTTCTGTCCAGGCTGAGAATGCAAATTATTATTTCCTAGGGCTCTGAAAGTGTCCATCATTGCATTGATTTAGCAACAAAAAAAAAAAAAAAAAAAAAAAAAGAAAAAAGAAAAAAGAAAAAAGAAAAAAGAAAAAAGAAAAAAGAAAAAAGAAAAAAGAAAAAAGCACAGAAAAGCAGCCAGTTCATTAAAGTGCAGAAGCACTTGCTGTTTTGCTGTGGATACTCTCTGCAGCATCCCTTCCAATTACACTGGCGATCTGGCTGAAAAGCAAAGACTTCAAGATAAGTTTCTGTTACTTGGAATGTTATTCTTGAGCCTCTCTTATCAACCAAGGACAAACACTGTGAAGTAACAGTCTCTACAAAAAGGATCCTACAAGAAACTTGTATCAAGTAGCATGAGAAATACACCTATCAGAGCATTAAAACATACTGGTTCCTTTTGATGCATTAGACTTCTGAAGCCAACTTCAAGTCATTAGCAAAGTAACTCATGCGCAAGTGGTATTCAGTTAAATCTGAGATGCAACAAATCTTGCATTCTGCAAGCAATGAGAGCAGAAGCTGTTATTTCAGTATGTTCTTACTCTCCATTGGGTTATTTTATTAATTTTTAAGTAAATAAATCATTAGGGGAGGCCATCAGCATTACTCTTCCACTCCAAGTTAAAACAAGAGCAGTCCACATTACTGAATGGATTACTCGGCACTTACAGCACACGTTCCAGACATTCCCTTCAAACCCAGAAAACACGCTGATCTGCACAATATTGCCTGGTACTAAAATTAGGGTGTAGAATTGCTATGACAAAAAGTTTCTGTCCACAGATCTGGTGGTTGCATTGCTTAAAATACTCAGGTCCTGGCTGTTGATTGTTGTTCTCCCAGCTTCCACAAAGGGGCAGCTTAGACAAATTCAAAGACAGACCCCAACTGCTTTCTTAGGGAGGCCACTGGATTCAAGCACAACAACTAGAGATGAATGTCAAAAGGAATCGTTTGCAGATTACCACCTTCATGGATTGCCTGACTGTGAACAATTAGCCAAGGAAGAATGTACTTGTTTCATTGCCACCAGTTCTCTTCCTTTCAATACTACTTGGTACAATTTAACAAAAACATTTTTCATTCAGTTTGTACAATAGCTTTCCAATACTGCTGACTTTGTCAAAAGGAATGTTTTAACCCCTCTACAACTTTAGGCACTGCAATTCCTGTACAACTTTCTAGAGTCTTCAGAATAATGCATCCTACCATAGCTGCTCTATGTCTGTACCTTTAAAAAAAAGGCATCATGCACGCAGTTTTTCTGCCTAAGGATATGCTGATCTCCTACCTTTTAGCTTTGCTAATGGTCACCATTCATTAACAAAAGCACTGTTGATGACACCAGCAGAGAATTTGATCATCATTTTAACGATTAGGATTTTTCCTGCAGTTGGCAGAATTTGGCCTGATTTAACTTACAAAAGATAAAGCAGCCCTGAACTTGATTCCTCACAAGAAAGTCGTTAATCTTTCCTATTTTGCTTTTGTCTTTGTCTACTCTAATCATAGGAAAGATTTTGTTGGAATGTTGCAGCCAGCATTAGCAATTAATAAATTTTAGAACTTAAAGTATTTGGACATCTGTTTAAAGAACAACCTAGCTAATAATTTTCTTTAGCTTCTTAAATACTTTCACTATCAATCCTACAAAGTTTCTAGGGCATCTATGGACGTAGATTCTTTGGAAAAAATGGGCAAGATAAAGCCTAGCACTAGTGAATAAAAACCTACTTGTTTTTTCAATGCTCCTATATTTCTTTCAGTAAAACAATTATAGCACAAACCCGATTACTTTTCCAGGTTGTCTTTAAGGCTCAACTAAATTAGAGCTAAATTGCAGGATGTTACAATCTAATCTGATCTTAGCCTCAATTGTGTTTGAAACACATCAAAGTATTGTAACCCAATAAAGATTTTTCAGGGTAGTCATGTGAACAATTCAAGCACATCCTAGCACACATTCCACTTCTCTAGCATTGCTTTTGTCGTCTAATTACGGTAAGGATTTGTCTAATGCATGAGAACACACCCATTCAAACAGACATCAGTATAGCCAGAATAGACATTAGTTGTCTGTATGGACGAGACCAAATGGCATTTTAACGGGGAACAGTAATTTTCATAGTAAACAGACCTCTACTTGTAAAGGCCACTACCCCAGAAACTACTGGATTCCAACTCCTGCTCTTTGTTAGGGGATTGATTCCCTTGTCAAGGGAGAGAGTTCTCCCCCAATCTGCAGTTCACTAACTTGGTTGGAAACCCCTCTACCTTGGAAGGAGGAGCTGCAGGTTTAGGAACCAGATTTTTGTAGACACTTGGGACAATGGTGGTGGCTTTGTTGCCGTTTGCCAGGTGAGAAACAGGTGATGTAAATGCAGCTGAGAAGGCGGCGGCAGGATCCTCTTTTGAAACCTTTTTGATGACCAGCATCTTGGTAGGTTGCTTGGCACTAGGGGGGTTTTCTGTAAAAATAAAACAAGACTCTGAAATACAATTGCTCAGTTTCATAACAGCTTCAGTATACTGCTCCAGTTTCTCCCCTCTCAATCTTAGGTGCTACACATCTGATTCTGAGACTCCTATCAGCTGTTCTTTCCTTTCAGCTTTGAGCAAAAATACTAGATAAGGATGTCAAAGTCCAATCTTTTTTCATTTAACCACAACAGCTTGATGGTGAAGGGAGAAACCTACACTGACATCAGCTAACAGTCTTCCACCATACTACAGGAATCAGAGTAGACACTAGCATTTTTTTGAGCAACCATGGATCAGCTTTGTTAATTCATTGACACAGCAACAATACACTGCACAACTTATACCTCAAAAGACACAGTGCTTTTACAAACAAGCACAATTAATATTTCTTATGCCAATTCAACACATTTGCAGGAGCAGAACAATTTAAAAACAGTACTAGTATAAACAGCTAAAAGCCCCCAAAATGTTAACTGTCATTATTTTTTGAGCAGAATAATAAATAGCTAACCTGACAAACACACAAAAAGAATACAATCTGGTATTATAGCACGAAGTGATTTTGAGGTTGTTGTTTTTTTTATTTGTACTATTTACAGTATTTGACCCAACTAATCTAGCTGCATTCTAACTAGAGATTAACAAACCTGTATTTAGTTGCTAGAACTAGTACCATGTTTCACTCAATTTTTTTTTTTTAAGGCACAGATTCACATAACACGTCAGAATCAAGAGCAAGCCTGTTCTGAGTTTAAAAAAAAAAAAAAAACCAAATAAATCCAAACCACAGAGTTATGACACTTTTGCCGTCTAATATGAAGATCACAAGTCAGGAACTAATGTCTAGTTCACTGAAATCTGGTGTGCCCTTCAAGTAATGTCTGCAACTTCAGTAAGACAGGAAGCAAATGCGGAACAGTGACATTACTCCCACCAGCAGTTTTTTTATGACAAGACAAACACAGTTTCAAGTAGACTAAAAGGCCAAGAGATTAATGAAGATCGGGAGAGGAAAACAACCAAGGAGAGAAAGCTGCAAACTATCTGCTTCACTTAAGTCTTTAAAATCTTTTTGAGTGACAAAACTAGCATTTAAACATCAGTTACAACTTTCTACTTCAGCATCAGCATTCTGTACAGAGATGTAAATACCTTTACCTACCCCATACTCCAGAAGGTGTTCCTAAAGGTTTGTTCTGGTTGTTGTGTCTTCCAGCTTCTGGATTCAAAGATGGCTGTGAAAAGACAATGCAAGTGAGTATATCATTATACCGCATATAACAAAAAAAAAATATTCAGTATTAACATAACATTATGCTTCTAGGAACCCAGAGTACAGGTAGATTTCTCTGAACAGCACCTGAATTAGAAGAGAGTGCTTTATCACAAGACACCAAAAATCAAATTTGTATTCTCCTTGGCTTCTGCTGTATTTCCAACAGAGCTATCAGAGGCTTCAGGATAGGCCCTTTAGTCTTCTACTACGCGATTAAGTAGATTCCACCAACCAACACACACATAAAAGATTTAGGTATTTAAACATTAGCAGCTCAAAATGTAAAACAGAATCCACATCATCATATGAAGAATCTAATCTCATTTCCCAAATATTTTTATACAATAATTATGCATTAAACAATAATAAAAAGAAAAAACAACAAGCAATACTCTGCTCCTATTGTAAAGGAATAATGCATATATTTACATTTACTGACAAAAAAAGGTAGGTGTAAATTTACGTTAAGCTTCAGAGTCCACTTTTCAGGATAATACTGCATGCAGAATCAGTACTCTCTGCAGACTTACCTTTGATTTGGTATCAGAATTCAACTTAGTGGAACAACTAAGGACGTGTCCAAGCTCAAAGCAGAGTACAGAAAATCTAAGCATTCAATGACAAGTGTTCCTGATTAGCTATTCCTCTTCCCCCGTCCCAAATAACTCCAGTTCAAAATAAAGCCATCTTTTTCCTCTTTTTAATGAATTCTTCGTATGTTAGTTACTATGGTGATTTTTTTTTATAAGAGTTAGGAAAAAATGTCACACCATAGCATAAATTCCTGCCTCGGTCCCTAGAAATTCCTCTGTTTCAGTGCTTCATTTTTTAGTTACAGGTCAGTTTTATATAGCAGGGGTGCTCATACCACAGGAGAACTTAGTCCAACAGACTATTCTGCAGGCCTTTGAGGAAAAGTGTTGCCATCGTCAACCACACAGGCCTAACAGCTACATACTTAACCACAGTATGCATTAGTTTCACCACTATGGTAAAGACAATATAGGAGTTGTTTAGCAAAGCTTGGTACTAGACAGCATGTGGTATTATCGTCTTAAAAAAAACACTGGGGGAAGTAATTACAGAAGAAACAGCCATGTAGTTGGGGAAAGGCACTCATCGAGGCACTGAAGAAGAGAATGAAGAAGTACATGGAAGAAAGATTTAGACCGAGATAGACTACAACAGTGCACAGTTGCAATCATTACAATAACTTTCTACATTTCAACAGGCTTTTGACAGTCTAAAGAACAGGCTTATAGAAATCCTGAATTACAGTATTCTTGAGAAATCAGATTAACCGAAATCTACACGCAAGCTTTACCACCGCTCTCCAGGTGTTAACCACCCTGTGATGCAGGGTACCACTCCCAGCAGAAGCAGTTGAACAAGAGCATGCAATCCATCCCCAGGCACTTCACTGAAAAAACCCAGCAGCTTAAATCAAGCTGGCTCCCGTGGAAATTTAAGTGGAGACTCTAGATTTTGGCCTGAAGCAGCTGTGTGACATTCATGTATTTCCAACTCCTACCTTCCTGAATAGAACCAGTACCATCAAACTGCCACAACAATTTCAGTTGTGTCATGAAAGAGTGGAACACACCTCGCTCAAAAGAGAGAAGCAGCAGTACGTTTTTTTGAGGTAGAATAATAATTCTGACTTCTGCCTTCCAGAGAGAAAAGCTGAATAAGAAAGCAAAAAGCTCAAGATGATGATACCCACAAGCGCGCACACTATCACTCATTACTGAAGGCAGCAATGGCTTTAGCATTGAAGATGAAGTCAAAGGAATTGTGTTCAGTGAAGTGACTGAGTTACCAGAACCTATACAGATGATATATACTGGTCAAGAAGAGCCTAGACAGAGCAAGAAACAAGATGCAAAAAGCAAAATACGTTGTCTGATAACAATAAAATCCTCATCAGGGGACAGGAGCAAAAAAACTAAACTGGAAAGAGAAAGCAGAAAAGGTGTGTATATATCAAAGCATTAGCATTAAGGAATGCACATGGTAAGGATGACAGCCATAAATCCAAGTACTATTTGGTGAAGTTTGGAAAACTGAAGATATTCCAGTAAAAATAGATCCAGGATGTAAGAGACTATCATACTGATAATACCATGTGAATCAGAATGCTGGATAAGAAAGTTGATGAACTGGAGAAATCAATGGAAGAAATGGCTCAAGAAACCCTGATCCACCAATTAACAGAGAGATAGGAAAACATCTCTGATAACAAAATACTATTCAAGAAGATTCAAGACAGATGATTGCAAAGGTCTGAGCACGTCATGAACAAGCTTGGGAAGGTTATCACAAACACCAACACGTACTAGAATGCAGGAAATGGGAATAGCAGACTGAAGACAGCCGAATAGATGTATTTAGGAACAAAAAAGGGCTTTGTAAGCAAAGCCACAAAGCCAGTGCAACTACTCTTCCTGTGGCAGACCAAAGTGTCACCTCATAGGTTTCGCTGAAGATCTGACTTGTGTGTTACAATGCTGTCTTCAGTTCAAATAACCACTTGGCAAAATACAGTAATGTGCCAAACCCCATAATCCAACAGGTCGTCAAATCCTGAGGACTCTGGGTTATCAATTAGCATCCTGTCAGCACTGGAATAATTTTGTTAAATCTGTTGTGATCTCAAACATGGAACGGAATGCAACTCTAGATCCTCACCACCTATCAATGCTAATAAAAATGAGATCTGAAAAGCCACTTCTCACAGCTGCCACTTCTAGTGAGAAGCTACACACTTACAAAGTCTTCTTCCTCAAATTGCAACTGCTCTTTATCTTCCTTCTTCTCTTCCCTGGATTCAACAGGCAGCTTTTCTTGAAAGGCGGAACTTTTCCGAGAATGGAAGTTGCCATTCCAGTGGCGATGAACTCCAGTTCCTCCTCCACCACGCTGGTTCACACCATCATGGCCCCGTGAGGGACCATGCCAGCCAGGCTGACTGCCAGAAAGCCCAACATGAGCTCCTTTAGAAACACCAGAATCTACAGAATCATGGCGGAGAAGGGACGGCTGATGCCAGCAGTCTAAACAAAAGGAGATAAGTATGCAAATAATAAAAGTCAACACAGTGTGCAGAATACTGGAAATATCAGGCTGTTTTTCTTGTTGTTAAGTCAGTGTTCACTAGGTAACTACTAGGCCAAACTTATTAAGCTACTGTGTGATTATATCAGAAAACAAGCTACAGAATGCACATACAGCTACCACAAAAACCCCTTAAGGCCTGAGCACATGGCATGGAAGAAGAGAATAGCACAAGTTTCTTATAGGATGTTTTGGAAAATGTTGTTTATATTCTGCAGAATTCTTCATTCTGTAGAATATTCCCAGATGTTTGCTCTCAGGCTGCACTCCGATCCTTCCTACTCACCTCCCGCAGTTCGGAGGGGCCCATTATTGAAAAATCCATCAGAAGAGTTGTGTCTCCTACGGCTCACCCCAAAGCGGCCCTCTCCCCGTGGAAGATGCTCTCCATGTTTCTCAAAGGTGGCTGCAGGGGACTGCAGAAAGTAAGAAGTGATGTAAGGAAGCATTCATTAAGACACTGTAGGAGCCTGTCAGTCTAACAGTGATATTTTGTTAATAGAAAAAAAAAAAAACAACCAAACACCAAAAAACCAAACCCACCCTAAATCCCACATTCCTGTACTAGTTTTCAATACAGCATCCATATCTGCATTGCTTAGCCAATGTCAACAATCACATGAACCTGATCAGATTGGCACACAAATCCATGTATCTTACAAAGAATCGGAGAGAACCTAACACACTCTTACCAGTAGTCTTTGCAAACACATACTCTCTGCAGAATTAGTTTAAGAAATTCTATGATACACAGGTGCTCATTCATTCACTCCCTCTAAACACAGAAGAGCAGACAGCAATGGAGGATCCAATCAGTCTGACTGAAATTCAGAGATACTCAAGTAAGTTAAAGCACTTTTGGACTGAAACAGCTATGATGCCAGAAAAAAATGCTTCTAGTATTAAGATTCCAAAGAATCTTTTAGTCCATACCTTCCCTCATTTATAAAAAAAAAAAAATCAAAGGTTTGTTTTAAATGGATCAAATATCCTGAAATTACTTTTGTGTCCTCATATTTCAGCATGAAGCTGAAAGCTGTATTCTTTCTTGTTTATCAATGTCATCCATCATGATCTGGTTTGTTATTAAAATGTTTTTCTCCACTGCCATGCACAAGTAACACAAATTGTTAAAAGTCCTGAAATAGACTTCCTGGGCCACCCTAAGCTGCTTCTGGAACCAGTTTTAGAAAGAAGGTGACAGGCAAACTGCCCCCATTTTAAGGTTGCAAAAAACTAATGAGTATTTCTGAGCTTGGAGTTAGAGCCTAAGGGCTTGTCATCAATCTGCTTCTCAGCAAGGGCCAGATTATTATCATAAATCAAACCCAAATTATATTCTGAATTGTAAATAAGTGACAGCTCAAGTCTTGACTCCTGCAGATTTAGGGCCATTTCTTTAATGATTTTCTACTTGGGATCCCACTCAAGTCTCAACACAAAGACACTGAACTACTTCCATGTCTGAACGCAAAGATTGTTCCTCCTCTGAAATAGAAGGGACACATTTGTTGAAAAACAGACAACAAAAATTATTTTCACCTTAACAGGTTTCCAAAAGCCCTCTTTAAAAAACACAAAAGAAGTTAACCATTTTAAGTTCAACAAAACACTGGGGCAATTTTTGCTTTTTATTATTGTCATAGCTGTAAAAGGAGGTGATCTGTATTAATGTTACCTTGGTTGACTGTGGCGTTGAGAAGTTAAGCCAGGCAGGAACAAAGTCATGCTGCGCCATTTAGGTCCAGTGTCTCCCTTCAATAAAATGAGGCATCAAACCTCATGGCCAGGATCTGTAAATGAAAAGAACATTCCCTGACAGTCATCTTTTCCAAACTGAAATAATAATGCAATTTATTTCCCAAAGCTTGGCCTATACAAATAGGAAGGGAAAAGTGCTGCA